CCTAATGGCAATGGCCTCCAACCTACTAGCAATGGCCTCCACCCTAGCAATGGCCTCCGGACTCCGACCTAATATTAATAACGATGGCCTCGCCTCCAACCTAATAGCAATCACCTCCACCCTAGTAGCTCACGTTTGGGAGCTTTCTTCTTCAGCTGCTCTATGTCTACATCTGTCCTGCAGACTCATCATCCTCCTAAGGTTCTTGCTGTGTCTGGCTCAGCGTCTTCTGCCCAGGTGGAAGGGTGTTCATTGGCGACAGCCGGCAAACCGCCGACTCAATGATCCTTAGAAGGAAAAGCTATCAAAAGAGTATAAGGATTGTTATTAACTGATTTACATGAGGTTGAACAATTCAAGTGGGCCTTGCAGGCTAAGACAGCCCACACTTCTGAGCAAAGGGCGGCGGCTTTAGGAGTCGACGAACCTTGACTTCACTGCGGCCCCAATTGCCTAGGTACCGCACTGTAACGCTTTGGTCAGGATCAATGTTGCGGTTTGACCTTTCGACAGGAACCAACATGCCTGTGCAGCAAGTCTGCACGCTATATGTCAAACACACCATATTGCTGGCAGCCTGACCAAAAGGAAGCTTCTCAGTTAGGCAGTGGCTATGCATCAAGACTCTTTGGAGCAGTCGTTCCGCCTGAACCACACATACAGACACGATATGCAAACCTAGCGGCTAGCCTATGGACTCTACGTAGTCTTCTGTGTTGGTACACCGCAAGACTGAAATGCAGCTTCAAGTTGTTGCTTGTGCATTTACCGGCCCCGTCCTTGCGAATCTGCTCTGCTGAGCCCTTGAGGATGACCTGAAACCCAAGACAACCATCACAAGAAAGTTTCTCTCATAATATGACATGTCCTTTTCTCCCTGGGTGCAGCCCAGAACACTTCTCGCTGAGTCACTGTCTTTTCGCTCGCGGTGGACATCGGACTAGAATGCTAATCTACAAGTTCCCACCGAACGTGGGAGTCCGAAAGATGTGAAAGTTGCTTTGCCGGCTTCCCCTCAGCCCAGCATCTTGCACAATACCACTGGGCGCGCCCAGCGAGCATGCCAAGCTGTCCTGGACCAGTGCTCCCACAGCGGCATCGAGCCGCGTCACGCACCTTGGCGCAATGAAAGCAGAAGAAGCGGTGCGCCCGCACACTCCCTGGCTCTCCAGCCTTCCCACGCTCCGTGGCATTGCAGTGGAAACACTTGGACGTGTACTCCAGCATCCCCAAGACTGGCCATGGCAAGCTGCTGCCCAAGCGGAAATCCTTCCCTCCAGGCAGCATTGGCTGCAGCAGCTTCAATAGTGCGCCCCAAGCACAGTTTGTTGCCTCTGCTGAATACTTCAGAAGCCGATCATGTGGCAAGTGCCACTCCACAAAATTGCAAACAGTTGGAATGAAGAAGCGCTGCACAATCATCTGCCGACGGGCATCCAGCTGCTGAATCTTTGTCATCAGTCTGGTTATGATTTCTAAGGTTGGTCTGGGGTGGAGCACCATGTTCAAATAAAACAGGACCTGGTTGGTCGCAAAGTAGAAGTTCAATGGCTCACTCTCAATGGCAGCTTCAAACAAAAGTCTGGCCTTACTTTCTTGTGTCTTGTGAAGTTCGCAGGCTGCGTGGTATTGTGCAAAAGCGCTGTCGGGATGCTTCTCTTGGCACTGCAGTATGTCCACCTCTGCCATGCTGAACTGAGAGCCAATTCCGAGCGTTGGCTCTTCATCGTAGGTTGCATGCCACCATAGAGCGGGCACAAAAACCACATCGCCCGGCTGCTGAAGGATTTCTATTGGCCGATGCTTGGGTGACAAATGTGAAATCACTTCTGGTAACTGCGATGCAGGGCACAGAGCCACTGCATCGTATGCCTCCTTTGGCGGACCTTGTGGTGGGTACAGCCACCAGCGCTTTCGACCTTGCTGGAGGGCCAACCAGGCAGTTCCATGTTTGTGGAAGGCTACTCCACTGCCACCTGGGCCTGTCGAGACAACAACCATAGAACACCTCATCCAAGCAGGAATGGACCTCCAACATTCACTTGGAATACTCCCTGGCTCCAAAGCATTTGCACCCAGCTGGCTGAAGCAATTACCCTTGCTGAAGGCTTCTTGGAAAGACCGCTCATCGCCCAGCATTGAGGGCCCAAACTGTGCGGCCAGCGGGTCACACAGCACAGTCGCTGTCTGAAAGCTGGCAGAGCTGGTGGCCTGGGCGGTCTTTCATGACCATTCTACGGATCACACGGACCTCCACCTGCTAGAAGAATGACTTACTAATAGGAATGGCCTCCAAACTAATAGCGCTGGCCTCCAACCTAATACCGATGGGGAGGCCTACTAGCAATGGCCTCCACCCTAGTAGCGATGGTCTCCAACCTAATAGCGATGGCCTCCAACCAGTAGCGATGCCCTCAAACCTAATAGTGATGGCCTCCAACCTAATAGCGGTGGCCTCCAACCTAGTAGCGATGGCCTCCAACCTAAGAGTGATGGCCTCCAACCTAATAGCAATGGCCTCCAACCTCATAGTGATTCTGATGGCCTCCAATCTAATAGCGATGGCCTCCAACCCAATAGCGACGGCCTCCAACCTAATAGCGACGGCCTCCAACCTAATAGCGATGGCCTCCAACCTAATAGCGATGGCCTCCAACCTAATAGCGATGGCCTCCAACCTGATAGTGATGGCCTCCAACCTAATAGTGATGGCCTCCAACCCAATAGCGATGGCCTCCAAATGCCTCCAACCTAATAGCAATGGCCTCCAACATAGTCACTCCTACCTCCTACCAGTGCACCTACCAGTGCATACACAGGAACCCTAAGCCGCAGCAGTCCTTGGGAAGAAGCTCTTCTCTGCAGGCGTATGGTAGCTTGAGATCACGCGGAGCATCAAAAACCAAGGGATCCGAAAGGCCCTGCCATCCGTCCTGCGTCGCGTCAGGCGTCGAGGCATTCTCAGAGCTATCAAGGACTCCGCAGGTTAGTCGCAACTCCAGGTTCACCAACCTCTGCCACCCTGCCTGACCCAGCATCTTCCACAGTTCCGACTCGCTCACTCTGCGAAGCGTCGTTCCAGAAGGCCCTCTTTTTGGGGTGGCCAATGCACATTCAGGCTTGAAGTCATTGCGATGGAGCTGGAGCATTACCTGATGCAGTAGCCTGAGTATCATATCCAGCTTCCATTTGTATTATGGCACGGCACATGCATTGGTCGTGGACTAAGAAACTGAGGTGCTGGGCATTGTCAGATCTCCGTTTCTGAAGCTCTGGGGGCTGCACTTCAGCTGACAAAGGTCCTCCTGCAGCTTCGTTCGCAATTCCTCCGCCTCCCCCACCTGCATCTCAGCCTCTTCCAAATTGTATCTGGCCCGTCGCGGCTGAAACTCCTTGGGTGCCCATAGCATAGCATGACAGGGCTCAAAAAGAGCCTAACAAAACCAAGCTGAACATCTCGTGCTAAACACTCTGATTCGATGCAATGGATAGTGTGGCTAATGGCTGAGACAAATTGAAATTGACACGCCCCTAATCAAATTTATGTTTCTGCTAGATTCTGCTAGCAAGTTTGCAACGAAATGCAGCCAACGCACGGGATAGCCACCAAACCCAACAGCACTTTGCATCCATTTTCCCTGCTCCGCTGGCGCAGCCATTGGCCATTGCTACTGGTCAAAACCTTCTGCAAGTTTCGGACCAAATGTACCTTGATAGGAGCCTAGCTTACGTATCGGCGACGTGCTCGCAGCTGTTTATGGCGCCCCTTGCAAATCAGTCAAGTTCGCACTGAGGCACCCAAATGGTCAGCACCTCGCAGCTGCACAAGCATGCATGCATATCCGCAGTCGTGCAACAACGTTAGAAGGAAAGGAGGCTCACACCGAATCATAACCCACCCCATGCATGTGTGAGCTTCAAAGGCAAATGTTCCAAAAGATTCCCCTTTCCCATGGATTCGTGCTGAGACCGTCGAAACTTCACAAAGGCCACGCGGCAACGAATGTTTCTTCCTTCGAGAGCTCGCGGCCAAGGCCTGATGGGCCTGATGCACTGTCCTAAGTTTGGCCGCACAGCGCGGCACCGTCAAAGGTGGATCGTTCACCAAGCTATCAGCTTCGTCTGCTCGACATGGGAGATGCGTTGGTGACTCGAGGAAGTTCATGTGACTCATGCTGCACTCAGCTTGGACTCAGGTGGCTTTCTCGTGCTTCTCACGCCATTGATTGGCAAGTCTTCGAACAGCTTGGTTGCTCACCAGCTTGGCGTGCTTCAGCATGCCATGTCCCATGGGGGACAACACTCCTGTTCCATTGCGTGGGCGGCTCTCCAAGGCTGCTGACTTGTCATGGATCCACTTCTCAATCCACCAGCGCCTGAGATCAGGATGGCTACACGGCGCATCCCTCCAAAAAAACAAAACACTACTTATCGGTCATGTCTGGCGGGACCGGAGGGCTGGCGTGTGGCTGGATCGACGTGAGGTTCGCTTTACAGGTCGGATCTGACGGCACAAGGTCAGCTGATGAACCTTTTGCAGCTCCAACCTCATAGCAATGGCCTCCAACCTACTAGCGATGGCCTCCAACCTGATATCGTGGCCATTCTTTCAGGAAAAACAAAGGTTGTACTTGAGCAGCTGTCACCAAGAAACTCGTAGGTCTCGCCATCGGCGGCCACAACTGGATCAGTGAAGAGCTCCAGTGACATTGGGCAACAAAGATCTGGCGGTGGACCAGCTGCCTCTTCATGCCAAAAAAAGCGTCTCACCAGCCTAGCCAGTGCCCAAAAAAACATTGCCACCAGAATTCCGCAGCTCCAGAATGCAACATCTCCGGGAATCAGAAAACCTCATCACAACAAATCATGCAAAACCATGCAAAACCGCAATTATGCAATTTAGCAGGTACTTAAGAACTCTTGTCTGAGACCGCTCATGAAGAATCAAGCTGCCAATAGAGTCATCTTCTTCAACATCAACTGCGGCATGCTCCTTTCCGAGGAAGTGATCCTGACAATTGGATACAATTGGATCTGAATGCCTTCTGGTGGGGGCGCAACAAGTTGGCATGTTACTATCATGTCATCATGCCATGTGGTGCTGCTACGCAGTCCTTCAGCAAGCTGGTGAGAGTCATGAAAATCGACTGTTGACGAAAAAGGACTGTCCACCAAATCTCCGACTCGATGACCAGGTCAGATGCCCCGGATTTCCAATCGGATTCACCTGCGCCTTGTCCTTGCAAAGGTCCAGTCACATCAGTGGTGATGGGATCCTGGAAGGACGTTCGGAAGCTCACAAGGTCACAAAGCTGTGTCCAGTTCTTGGGGTTAGCTTTGATGACAGTTACGGCGCTCTCACTTGGCCAAGGGTCTCTCAAATAGAAGAGCTTCCGCGATGAAGCCGAACGTTTGCCAATCTTGCCACTTCTGGCCAGCTCGCGAGCAAGCCTAAGGCAAAGCGAAGGCAATACAAAGGAAGCAGGTCTGTTGAGTCCCGGAAGATTGTACTGAAGCCAGGCCACGCAAGGTCTGCATCCTGGATCTGCCGCTGATCAGCCATGTTCTCGCTGCAACGCCTTGGAAGCCAATCCAGGAGGAGTCTAGAATCTGGAATTCCTCAGAATGTACGTACATAATATGATACGTAGTTGTTGCCGGGAATGAGTGGGGCAGTAAAGAATCTCCATCCGTGCCTTCAACTCGAACATCAGATTAAGCCAAGAGTCGCTTCCAAAAGGCCCAGCAAAACCTCAAGCCAACATGTCCGATCAGAGAGGAAAAACGACATGGGATAACCCCACATGTCAAGTTTAGTGTCACATAAAGGGGGAGAAAGAAAGTAATGAAATTAAAGATGCATTTGTAGGCGGAGTGTAGGGGTGAAGAACCAATGATTGAGTGATTAGGTGTGAGTTGAGTTGGTGTGAGAGATGAGTTGGTCAAGAGGAGGAGGCGGCGAAGGAGGAGGCGAAAAGGATGCACAGTAAAAGTAACACGTGGTCCTCTTGCATGGGAATAGATGTTCTGATCAAGCCGATTCTCCTTAAAATGAGTACGATATTCCCAACTAAACCAGACTCAAAAAGAATCAGTTCAGGTCAATCCCTAACAGAATCAGACTAGTATGATATAAAGTATGCAATGCCCTGGAAATAACATGGAAGTGGAAAAAGGTGCCTTGGAAGACCATGTTCCTCCACAAAGAGGAGAAGGCTTTCCACTTCCATGTTAGTTCCAGGGAGTGTATCTTGCTGCCTTGGGGCTTCAGGGTCTGAGGTCAATTCCTCCAAGTTCAACTCCGGGCACAAGTCAGCAAACCCTTCAGCATCTTCACCGGTCACGGCGCGCCTCAGATTCAGCGGCGAATGAGATGCAGCTGAGATGCACACAGTCTGCAGCAATGCGTTTCGATCATGCCTAGGTACGGATAGCTCTTCGCCTGCAGCAAGTGGGGTTGTCTTTTCTTCCCCGTTTACTGCTTAAGCTAGGCTGGAGTAGGGTAGGTTGGAGGCCATCACTAGTAGGTTGGAGTGATTCAGCAAAACCTTTGCCATGCCAGGATGCCTGGCCTTCGGCATCAAAGGCACACTGTCCAAGAGCTGCGCACGGCGGGCTTCCGAACGCAAATTTCTCCAGGTGTAAGACCATGAATTTTGATTAAGGAGCCATTGCTCACAAACCTTAGCTTCGTCATCTTGATTAAACTTGCTGGACTGCAAGGGTTGGACAAAGTCTGGAGCACTGTCCTTGACCAACTCTCTTCGGCCACGCTCGGTAAGAAAGTGCACAATATCCGGGTACAAAATCTGAAGGTTAAGCACCTGTTGATCACCGGCAATCGCCACCCTTGAGATGCTCCTAGCACTTAACACTTGGATAAGGGCTCCCAAGACTTTTAAACACAAGACGGGCACCAAGACAGGAATCATTGCGGTGGAAAATCTTTGGAAAGCCATTGTCATCATTATCAAAAGTTGCATTACCTGGCAAGAGGCTTCGCCCTTGGCCTGCCGAACTTCTTCGGTCAAATCATCAGGCGTTTGATGTTGAGCCCAAGCCAGGACGCAAAACCTCAAGAACAATTGTCAAGGTCGATTGTAGCACTTTGAGAGGCAAGGCAATGCTATACTTCTGCGCCTGTTGTATGTACATAGTATTCTTGTATGCCGCGTCAAGCCAGTCAAACAAATTGCATGCAAGAAGCAGCCAGCAGCGCTGCAGCATGAAACTCACATGGCTCTGCTAGGGCGACCAAGACCCAAACATTCACCCATCCTTCCAGCCCCCGCTGCAAATCTTTTGGGTATTGTATGTCGCTCTCTCATCTGCAAGTGGGATGTTGTTCCTAACCCCTTTTCACAACCTCACACCATCATTGGGCTGCATGTCATGCTCTCACGGAATAGAAGGCAATCTCAAGTGGCTTACTGCAGGTCTCACAGAATGCGTTCAGAATGTGTAAAGGATAAGCAAATCAAGTACAGTACATAAGGGGCGGTCAAGAAGGTCTGCACAAAAGGCCTTGGCTTCATCCGGTGCCCAGTCCACATCGCAGCCTGTCTCCTGCAAGGTGTGCATTTCCGTTTCACTGCAGTCCACTGCATGGCAACGGCCCCAATACTGTTTCACGAGTCTTAATGCCTCAAGCAAGATTTGCCTGTGCTCTGGGGTCATCAGGTATTCCTGGGAGGCTCAGATGTCCAAATTGTCCAAGCCACAAACCTCTTTTCATTCACAGCATTCTGCCAAGAATCTACCATGTCCCTGGGCACCGGAAAGTCTTGACCTCTGTCTCGCAAGTCAAGAAGAGCCAAGTGAAGAGCCAAGTGCAGCATTCAAAGCGTGGCATATGTGCTACAAAGTAGCATACAGGTCTACTCAGTCTACTCTACTGACTCTACTTTCCTTGTGCTCCTCACGCTCCCTGCATCTCTAAGTCGCGGGACTGGACAATGCTCCAAGTTTCGAGAAGTCCATCGGAGTTGTTGGTGGCTGCCAGGCGGACAGGTCCTGCCGGTAGAGCGGCCAAAATGGTCAAAAGGCATACAAAGAGATGAAGGTAAGGCCCTCTAAAAGGAGGCGCCTTGTCTTCCTTTCTTCATTTATTGGCTCTTCTTCTATACTATTTCTCATTTTTGAACATCAGGCAAACCGCATCCCAGTCCGAAACCGGTCCAGCACCTGCAAGGCAAAGTGGCAAAGAGCGTTCAACTCCCAGTGCATGAAACACACTGCTGGTAAAAGCTGCTCACAAGTCTACAGCCTCCAGGGGCCCCAAGGTTCACCGGTGGGGCCATAAACCTCGCCATCACTTTACTTCACACCCTTTCACTCACCTCCACTCCAAGATGCATCTCAGGGGGCCACGCCGCTGCCCCTGACAACATCTGATCCAGCCTGGATGAAAGCATATCGACACTGGCAACACGCTGAGTGAATACACCATTAATGGCATTACATTGACGTTGCTCCATAATGTCCGCATTGATACGAAGCCTGAACAAAACTACTGCAACACAACGAAAATTGGAGATGAAGACACATGTGCGCCGGCATCTGGCGGTGCCATACTGAAGTTGAGCAGCATTGATCTGGCTTCTGTGGCATGTCTATGGCTCCCCCTTTGTCCACCCAATGCACTTCAGCTTCCATATGCTTCCACTGTTCTGCGAACCCTGCTGGATTTCAGGGCCATCAGGAGCAGGCGGCGGGGCACCTGCAAGTCTTCCGTCCACTTCATGAAAAGGGTAGGAGTGCACTGCAACCTGCACCCTGATGCTTGTTGACTCATAACATGGGGAGGAGTCGTATGTCCACTGTCAGCAGGAAGATACTCTGAGCTCAAAACTGTTGGAGAAGCCGCCAAAGCCGGAGAATCTAGGTTTCTTTCCTGGCTAGGTCGTCGCGGCTCTTTCGTCACGCCTGTTTGAGATTCAACGGTTTGCAGGATCTAGCAGTGCGATAGACGGAAACGTGTCTCAGGCCTCCATCTTCCTCATCACTATCTACATCTGGCAGGCCAGGCATGTGAGAACACAGCAACACACACGGTGTCGAGGCTCTTTGCAAATCCCGGTAGTTGATTTCGAAGTCTCAAAGAAATCCTGTGGTTCAGCCAAGAAGTCTCGAAGGGGTGTTTAAATCAGCCCCTGGAGCGTCAATGGTCTTGCAATGAGCAGCCCATCAGAATCAATTCATCGGCCACCTCGCTTGCCCATGGTCCCACCAGAGCCACCTGGCAGGCATCGCTCTCTCAAAGCAGTGGTCGGAACATAGAATACCACCACCCGTTACTTCCGGCATTGCTACACTCAACACCAGCAACAAGAGTGCCTTCACAATCCAAACCACAGGCCTTGGGAGGGCACTCTCGCCAGGGAGACCCATGGGCCCCGCTGCCACTGGACCCAGGCTGCCAAAGTTGGAACAGTCGAAAAACACTTAGGCTGCATGAATTCCTGTCCCTCGCAAATCCCTTATCGCGCCCCATGCAATCTCAGAGCTTTCAGATCATTCATGATGCTGCTTTCTCTTCCACCATGGGCGCTTCACTCAAGCACACAACGGAAAATGTGTTCCTCCATTCATGGAGCAACTGTGCTGGGATTCTTTAAACAACCCCGTGGGAAATTGGCGCACCGTTGCACCACAAGGAAATCAAACTCTTTGTATCTCCAACATGTTACAAACACGGGAAGTCAATGGTCAAACAAGGAATCCTTGACACCTGGATTTATATATATATATATCTGTGTGTGTTTCTATTGCTTTCCTCGTGCTGGACGTGGCAAATAGGCCAAGTCACACCATCTATTTACACCGAGCCTGGCCATCTCACAGGCCGGGCAGCCAATGCCCCAGGTGGCTGAATTCCAGCTATGGACCATCGCTCCAGTGTTTGACTGAACCATTCAGAAACGCATTCTCTAAGGGCTATTGGGCTCTTGGGCTCCAAGCATGGCGGGGGAACCAAAAGAAATAGACTTGAGAAAATGGTGACGGTGAAGGTGTCCACGCAGACTCAAGGAGCTCCTTAGACCCTGCCAAATAGATTATTGAAAAGACCTGGCATCGAAACTCTTGAGAAACAATGAATTGGCTGCAGCGGCTACGGCTATCACCGAGCTGGGCCGATGTCAAGGGTCACTCCACATCCAACACCTGACTGAGCTTTCGACTACAATTCTTTAGATACCACAAGGACTCACAGAAGCACAAGTATCGTATATGAATCCCTCGTGATAGATCATCTCGGATCCACGGTCGCTCGGTTCGATCAAAAGGTTTCATAACCATATGCCCTGGTTACTAGTAGCGTTTGTTGCTAGTAGCGATGGCCTCCACCCAATAACGTTCTTGGTTATGGGCTTCACGACCATTCGAGGTCCGCAGCCCAAGCACCTCCTTCGTGCTTTTCGTTGCCACCTTCCGATAAGAACCCCTGCGAGCTGGTACAGCTGAAGCTGCATCCAGTTGGAGGCACAGCCTCAGAGCTGTGAGCTTAGGATTGGCGACTCATGTATGCAACAGGCCAACAGGTTCAAACCATCATCGGGCAGAGATCCCAAAATTGAGAGCAGAACACTTTTTACAAACCTTCAGTTTGATTTTTTTTGCATCTACTGACCGCTTTTTATATAATATATATATATATACAATGCAAGTCTGGAGCGCCTCACCTCTTGCTGTAAGAATACCTTTCAGTACAGCGTGTCTTCAAGATTGCAACATTCTTGCACCATCGTCCATGAAAATGGTTCTGTGTGCGCGCCACACTCCGTCCCAAGGAGTTTTTGTTATACGCAGGGGGCATGGCAGCTGTTTCCCTAGCCATGCCAACGAAGCTATGGGATTCAGCCGGAAGGGAATGTGGACGCACATTCCTGCACCTGCAACTGAAACTTTTGGCCAAGTTGTTCCACTCCTCGGTTTGCTTCCATGGTGGTTTGCATGCTACTCCCCACAAACCCATTTTTTGCCGCTGAGCTCGCCGCCGCCGCGTTCTGCAGACAAGTGAACCGATTGTTCAACAATTCAGTTGCGCTGACCGCTTCACCTTTCGTTTCCCTCATCCATTTCCTCGTGGAACAGAGTTAACTGCAAACCCATTGTCTAAGTGTGTCTGCGCGCGTGTCTCGCAGCAAAGGTCACGGCCAAGGGTGCTTCAAAGCGCTTGCAGCTGTTATGCGGGAGCTCGCCTGCCGACTTGGAATCTAGGCAGAATCTCAACGAAAACAAAACGCACAGATTCTGCCTAGGCTGTGCATAAAGTGTTAAAATCATGCTTTGATTTGCGACACCTCCAAATGCAGCAGCTGGCGAAGAAGATCTCTAGCCTTGGATAGACATGGGAGGCTAGCAGCGGCAAGAAGCTTGGGCACCATTGTCTGTGCAGCCAAATCTCTTCACTTGAAATGGAATTCAATCGTTCAGCTTGCAGCGCCTCATGCAACGCAATGCACAGCAAGACCCAAGCAATGCAACGAGCAATCGAAGTATGTGAGTCTCATGTCCAATTCATGGTCGCTATTAGTCGGTTGGAGGCCATTGCTATTAGGTTGGCAGAAATCGCTTCTAGGTTAGAGGCCATCGCTTCGAGGTTGGAGGCCATCGCTTCTCGGTTGGAGGCCGTCGCTTCTAGGCTGGAGGCCATCGCTATTGGGTTGGAGGCCACCGCTTCTAGGTTGGAGGCCGCCGCTAGTAGGTTTAAGGCCATCGCTACTATGGTGGAGGCCATCGCTTCGAGGTTGGAGGCCATCGCTATTAGGTTGGAAGCCATTGCTTCTAGGTGTAGGCCATCGCTTCTAGGTGGAGGCCATCGCTTCTATGTGGAGGCCATCGCTAGTAGGTTTGAGGCCATCGCTACTGTTACTATGGTGGGGCACCGCTTCTAGGTTGGAGGCCACCGCTAGTAGGTTTAAGGCCATCGCTTACTATGGTGGCTGCCATCGCTTCGAGGTTGGAGGCCATCGCTATTAGGTTGGAAGCCATTGCTTCTAGGTGTAGGCCATCGCTTCTAGGTGGAGGCCATCGCTTCTATGTGGAGGCCATCGCTAGTAGGTTTGAGGCCATCGCTACTATGGTGGAGGCCACTGCTTCTAGGTTGGAGGCCATCGCTATTAGGTTGGAGGCCACTGCTTTTAGGATGGAGGCCATCGCTATTGTTTGGAAGTGTCTATCTTTCGTCTTGCCAAGCCTTTGCCAAGAGCTCCTGAGCTTCATGGCTTCTGGTGCCCAAAGTCTGCATCTCCTCCGGTTGGACCGGGCAGTCTCCTGTGAAGAGAGTATACCTGAGCCACTGCGGAGCCTTGTTTTGGGTCTTCTTGATCATTGTAGGGCAGCATCTGCAAAAAGGGAATGCTTATATAATAGACTGCTAGGCTTTGGCAAAGCTGCAAAATGACTCCAACAGACCACATGTCGATCGCAGCCAAGTATGGTTGCTCGACTGCATCTGCAATGACCTCTGGAGCCATGTACATTCCTTACAGTTAGCACAACGTGCCAGGACAAAGTGTGATATCACGAAGCTGGCTACGGAGGCAGTTTCGGCTTGCAAGGCCATTACAGTATTTGGAACTTGCGGCTACGACTTCTGCCAGGACTCGTGTGCCACACTTTTTGCCGTCCCACGGCTTGTCCAACCGAGCAAGGAAGCCGAAATCCAAAAGAACCAAGGGAGAGCCAGGCTCTACACTTCGGTATCGAAAGTTGTCCTTAGCATTGTTAATTGTTCCACTGCCCTCTTTCAGCCTGCTAGACAAGCCACAAAGAAGGGAACCATAAACTAAACAATATATACAGTAAATATTATAAATAGGTTGCGAACATTGATCGATTTGTGCATATCCCGGTTTCAAGCTTGATATCGCGGTGGCACACCTTCACTTTGTCATGGATGTGCGCCAGCGACATTAAGACTTCGCGCATAACACCCTGACAGTGAGCTTCGGTCACTGGGAAAAGCCTCTCCATTTGCTCGAGGAGTTCTGGGCCCTGAAGGTCTTCCATGACAACATAGTAGTGGTCTGCGCTCTCAAGCAGGTCCATGTATTTCACAATCCCAGCATACGGAGAATGAACCGACATAGACATAAGTTCATCATAGAGTCCACCATCCACCTGAGATTTGTAGCTAGAGCCACTCTGTGATTTCTTCAAGCTCTTGACCACACAGTGCGTGTCGGTTTCCCGATGGGTCGCCTTCCGCACGATCCCGAAGCTTCCGAAGCCCACCGACTCGGCCGTGACGTCGTAAAGATCTTGCAACTCAGGAGTCTCAGCACCCTTCCACTCCAGGGCCTTCAGAATGTCGACAGGTCCAGAGAATGAGCCAGGGCACGAAAGGCCCCCGGCCCATGCACGAATCAGCTTGTCATCGCTTTGGATCACCGCCGTGAGGTGATTGGTCTGCCCGGCCTCTGCTCCAACATAGACCCTCTCATCGGGGTCCCATTGCTCTGCATCCCAGTAGGCATTGCTATCCTTGCGCGGAAGGCTTCTCCCTCCGCCGCTTTGGGTAGATGGTGTGTCAAGAACATCTACATCAATTTTCTCCACCTTCTCAGGCTTCACTGGGCGCTGAGCTCTGGAGTCAAAGTCCCAGTTGCCGGAGGTCCAATACTCAGAACTGCCCTGGTGCTGCAACTGTGGGTGAGCATGTTGCGGTGCTTGTGATGCAGCTTGCTGCGGCCCATCGAATGATACCTTTTTAGCTGGCGGGGAGCGGGCCAAAGAGATATTCCCAATGCCCAGGTCCATGGAGCGGACCTCATCCAAGCCATCCATAGCACCCCAGTATGAGGCACTGTCACCCCGCCTTGAAATATCACAAGGCAGTTCAACACATTTGAGTTTGGCAATGTCTTGTTGAGAAATCAAGATATATAGTGTGTATATATATTAAGACTATATATATATATGAAGGCTATAAATATATATATATATATATTTGTTCATCGTGTCCGCTCAAACCAGCATTCCTCGGCTTTTCTCCATG